AATACAGTTGTTTAATACAAATTCAACATTTTAATATAAATCAATTAGTTATATAACTATCTTTTTTGAATATTAATCAATATGAACATGAATATTCCAATTATTTCCATGCAATCCAATTTCTTACAAATCAATTAATTATACTTACCAATAATAATAAACCAAATAATTTCCCCCATATATTCCTCCAAACCACAACTTAACCAATTAATAGTATCTCAATTATTACAATCCCTAGTTAAATAGAGCTTTTTTTCTTTTGTATTTTAAAATCTTGGAACTCTCCCCTTTTGCCCTAAATTTCCCATTGTTTGCAGTTTTGCACCTACCTTTTTTGGTGAGGAAAAAGAAAAAGAAATCTCTCTGCCTCATTTTGTCACGTTGCAGCCTGCTTACTTTCAATTTCGCTTTTTCACCATAGCTAGAGGGAAAAAAATCTGCTCCAGGAATTTACCTCTTTGCAGCTAGCTCTTTGAAGCCCCGCGGCAAGAATTTAAAGTTTTTTTTTCCTCTAGCCATCAGCTGGGACTCCGGAGGCAGCAATAGATTGGGAGTGGGCGGGGTAAGCGAATGGCGACCGGGCGATCCAACAGAGGCAGAGGGTGAGGGTGAGTGAAGGCATGGGGGGGGGGCTAGAGAGGGCTTTGGCGACCCCTGTGAAATGGCCGTTCGACCCCCAAAGGGGTCGCGACCCCCAGGTTGAGAACCGCTGCTCTAGAATTTGTTTATAAGCTGCTCGAGTTATATGCTGTTCTTTAACATTATGCAACATCAGGTCGAGATCCGCTGCCACTTCTCTTGTACTTTTAGGTGGTCCACCTATAGCCTCTAGGGGAAGATCCAGCAACGGTTCATCTAAAAAGCCCCCTGTTGCTCCTTGAGTTTCCATTGCCTCCACCTCCATCTGTTTCCGCTGCTCTTCAAGCTCTTGTTCAAATTGCTTCTCTTTCTCACCCTCCACTATACCTAACACTGAGGATGTACGTGGAGATGCTGCACCAGTTTTGAAATAAAATTCTTCCGCTTTTTCAACAGTATTTAATCGATATCTCTCTCCTTGATACCTCAATATTATGCCAACTGGAGCATCCCATCTAAATGGAATTTGTTGTTTCTTTAATTCAGTCACCAAAAATCCAAAATCCTTTCTATCTCTTAGCATCTTAGGTGGCAGCTCTTTGTAGATCCCAATCTCCCTTCCATCCACTTGAATAGTAGAAACAAAAGACTTTTGTAAGATATCATTTCTTATTCTTCTATCTGTAAAGTAGATCATCACATCTCTAGGCAATTGCCTTTGCCTTGCCACCCAAGAATTCACTCTATAGACCTTATCAATCTTGCACAAAATCTCCTCAGGGTCAACCTTTAGCATCACAGCCAGGGCATCAGCACAAACCCTTCTCAAATCCTCTCTATTGTTCTCTTTTATTCCTCTCAGTCTTACAGCAAACTCCATGAATCTAACTTGCATCATTGTCACTTCATTTTCAATCCTTTGCGTTTTATTATCAACATTGGAGATTTTATAATCAACTTCCTTCATTTTAGATTCTACTTCTGAACTAAGTTCTTCCACTTTTTTATCAATCTGGACAACTGCTTTTGACAAACCAGTCACAACCGTCAGTATGTCATGCTTCATCTTGTCATATTTTTCTTGAACCACCTCCTTAATTTCCTGTTGAGATTTTTCAAATTTCTGGTCCAAAACTTCATTTTGATTCAACAGAGCCGCAGCAATAAATTCCTTCAAATCTTTAAAACCAGTCTCCTGTGCTTGGCTCTGAGTCTGCAAACTTAAAGGCTGCTCTTGTGGCTTGTGAGTGGGGGAAACCCCCCCCCTGCAGCTTTGGGTGGCTTTGTCTGCTTTGAAGCCATTCTGCCACGCAGACTGATTCTTTCTAAGAAGGAAGTCCTCCCTCCCTTTTCACCACAGAATCCTTTCAGAAATTTCCCCAGCTTTAATCAAGTCTCAAGGGAGAAGGAACAGATCAAAATCACTTTAAAAGAACTTTTCCCTTTTCTTCTAGCCAGCGCTGTTACTTTTAGTTACTTTGTAACATATTAAACACTCAGGCAAATCCACTTTCGCTTTCAGCTTTCCCTATCGCTGAAGCCGGACGCCATTTTAGCAAACTTTTACTTTTTCTCAGTTCTTAAATTCATTCACAGGCTAATAGAAATACTTGCAGTTTGAATTTCAAGTCCAGATTCCACCCTGTTTATTTTTGGTAATTCTCTTGGTTTTCGCTAGTTATGTTGGTCGTGTCGTCTGGCTCTGCTAGATGCAGAGTTGTCCCCGGAGTCCGGAGCCTCGGCGAGCTGGATAGGGAGCCTCACCCTGCTTCCTCCCCAGAAGCAAAAAAGACAGTCTGGGGACTTCGCAGGGGGCTCTACCTTGTCTCGCCGGCTCTCCTCCCGATTCCTCAGGATCGTGGAGTTTTTCAAGCCGCCTCTCAGCTGTAGGGGCGGTTCTTTACGGGCGGCAGGGCTGGCGGTCTTGAAGAGACCGTCTAGCGACGACGGCGGCACCAACCGGAAGTCCCGACATGGAAGAACTGTTTGTTGTACAGGCTGATGCCAGCGATGTAGCACTAGGAACAGTACTTCTGCAAATGAATGCAGCTGGAAAGCTGCAACCCTGTGCTTATATTTCCTGTAAACTAACGGAGACCGAGAGGAGATGGGCCATATGGGAGAAGGAGGCTTTCGTGGTGCATTGGGCCCTGTTAATGTGGACGCAATTCCTTGAAGAGGCTAAGCACCCCTTTGAGGTGTGGACTGACCACAAGAACTTGGAAGCTTTGAAAACACCATGTAAACTATCCCCAAAGCAAGTCCGTTGGGCTCAGCATTTCAAATGTTTTAAATTTTCCCTGCGCTATCTTCCTGTAGGGAAGAACTTTATGGCAGATGCACTTTCCAGATTGCCGCAATACAACAGTGCTAGAGAGGAAGTGATTTGGCCAATCATCCCCTCAACTCAGCTGGCGGCACCAGTAACTACTCGAGCGCAGGCTAAGGCAGATCCAGCTTTATCGGGCGACTTGTCTAAGTGACTACAAGAAGCTCTAAAGACCGACGAGTGGTTTCAAGCCCACTCGAATGAGTGTACACTGTGCGATGGTCTGGCTTGGGTGGGAGCCAAGTTATATGTTCCCGCCAGTCTGAGAGCAACGATCTTACAGCACGCTCATGATGCCAAAGTTGCTGGGCATTTTGGATTTGTCAAAACTCTACATTTAGTCAAACGACAGTTCTGGTGGCCCGCACTCAAAAAAGACATAGAGGCATATGTAGCTAGCTGCCCCATGTGTGCCTCAGCCAAGAGACCTCTGGGGAAGCCACCTGGATTACTTCAGAGCGTTGCCATGCCAGATGCACCTTGGAGAGAGATCTCCATGGATTTTATTGTGGAATTGCCCGAAAGTGGGGGGAGCACAGTTATTTGGGTGGTCATTGATTTGTTTTCCAAACAAGTGCATTTTATCTCATGTCCCGAGATTCCTTCTGCAAAAACACTTGCGAAAATGTTTGTCCAACATGTGTACAGGTTAGACGGTGCCCCAAAGCGTATAATCTCTGATAGGGGTATCCAATTTACCTCCCATTTCTGGAAAGAGTTCCTAGCGCTAATAGGCTCCGCCCAGGGATTAAGCTCCGCCCACCATCCTCAGATAAATGGGGCTTGTAAAAGAACCAATTCCATAGTGAAACAATATTTGAGGTGTTATGTCAATTATCAGCAAGATAACTGGGCAAAGTTATTGCCATTTGCAGAGGTGGCCTATAATAATTCCATACATAGCAGCACTGGGTTCACCCCTTTCAAAGTGGCCTCCAGCCAAGACTTTGTGCCAATTCCAGAATTGCCCCAAGAGAATCCAAAACACCCCTCTCTGATTAATTGGATCGAACAGCTACGAGGCACATGGGCAGTAACTCGTAAGGCACTAGATGAAGTGCATCAAGCTCATAAAGCCCAGGCCGATAAAAAAAGGGGTCAGGCACAAGATTATAAAGTTGGTGACATGGTTTACCTTTCCACCAAATACATGCAAACTACCCAAAAGTCAAAAAAGCTTGGACCCAAATATGTGGGCCCTTTCCCGATAGTTCGGGTCATTAACCCAGTCACGGTTCAATTGGAGTTGCCAAAAAATTTACAACGAATTCATCTGGTATTCCATGTCAGTTTGCTCAAACCGGAACACTCATCCCCTTTGCGTCCAGACCAAGAACCTTCTCCTGTCCCCATTCTGATTGAAGGAGAACATCACTTTGAGGTCAAGAAAATCTTGGATTCCAGGAAGCATCGTGGTAAGGTGCAGTATTTGGTGGCCTGGAAACATTTCCCATTGTCAAAAGATGAATGGGTAAATAAAAAAGATGTTCGAGCACCGAAGAAACTACAATTGTTTCATACCAAATATCCTGATAAACCTTGATCATTTACTCCATGTACATATTATATATTGTATATTTATCTTCCTTTTATCTTTTCCAGGAAGAATGTCTCTTTTGAAGGGGGGCCGAATGCCAGCCTCCGCTCTTTCAATGCTTTCTTGTCGGCTGCCATGGTAACCGGGGAGGGGGAGCTAGGAAGTTGCTAGATGGGGAAGCGTGCTGGAGGATGGGAGGAAAGGGGAAACGAAAGTGAAACTTAGCTGCAGTCCTGTTCCTTTGAAGCTGCTATCGAGTCAACGGTCCTGACATTCCAGATTGATGACACTGCCAGACGTGTGATTCCAGCTGACCTCTGGAGGACCTTTGGATTGGATGATTTACGCTGGACAGTTGGGAGGGGATGCTTTCTATATGTGATTTTCGCGCCTATTGCCTCAGATCTTGCTTTCCTTGGCTGCATTCAGTTCAATTTCAGTAAAAGTACCTTTATCTATGAAAATGAAGTTGGGGGTCATTCTTTCCTGAAATCTGAAAGGAGGCACGCCTGACAGGACAAGATTTCTGAAAGGCAATATGGCACCACTTCTAAAATGTTCAAAACTGTTTACAGCCTGGCAAAAGCATGCAGACCAATTTCAAGCATAGAGGAATTGATAGAATTACAAACTGAAAATGAAATAGATCTGGGAGTAGGATTGCATTCAAGGCCAACAGTTGTGAAAATAGTTGAGTGCATTGCAAATGAAATTAAAACTCAAATGTTTACCAGCATCATTGCACAGAATCTGAAAATATGTCTGATCATTGACAAAGCCTCAACAATATCCTGCAAACCAGTTTTGATAGTTTTTGTAAAAGTTGAGGACTCAGAGGACCCACCAACAATTTTTGTTGAGTTTGTTGAATTGAAGAAACAAGATGCAGAGACAATATGTTCTGCAGTTTTTGAAAGTCTACGAATGGTTAGGTTTACACGGCATTACCTACAAAAAAATTTAATAGCATTCTGCTCTGATGGTGCCAGTGTTATGCTTGGGAGAAAATCTGGAGTGAGCACCAGAATAGCAAAAGAGTTTCCAAACATCATCATATGGCACTGCTTGAACCATTGCCTCCAACTTGTTTTAGATGATGCCATAAAGGAAATAAAGCAAGTAAATCATTTTAAAATATTTATTGATTAAGATATGCTCTATTTTTCAGCAATCCAATAAGAACTGAATTGAACTTGATGAAATATCCAAAGAACTTGACATTAACATCATAAGGATTGGTAGTTTTTGGGCCAAGATGGGCTGCCTGTAGTTTAAGAGCAACCATAGCTGTGTGGTGTGCTTATCCAATGCTACATCAATATTTTCATGCAAATGCAAAATACGCAGGTATGGCTGCCCATCTGGAAAATAAATATTTCTTAAATGATTTGGCGTTGATGATCGATATTCTGGAAGAAATCTCACTTCTTTCAACTGCACTGCAAGCACGCAATACGGACATCACAAAGGCTGAAAAACTGGTGAGAAGATCAATGAAAGCATTTGAACTGCTTACAAAGGGAAAGGGCCCATACGAAAGAAAAGTTGACGGACTAATTACTTCAGAAACCTTCAGAAATATAAACTTTGTAGAAAATCATTGATTTGTTGGACTGTAGAGTGACCACACACACACAAAGGTTGAGGATGTATGTGGTGATTTTATTGTCTTACATAGTGACATTATATAGTTTGTTACTTTCACGTTACAGTGTACTTGGCAGCATCTCATTGGCTACAGAATCTTCCAGGTAACTAGAGTCTTTGGTTAACAATTACTGCTTTGCTTAAGCACTTATAATATTATCTAGGGTTAACACACATCCCACTTCCTTTCCTCCTGTTCCTCTTGTTTATAGAGTTAGAGTCTTAATGCCATTTCCTGGCGCCTACATGTGAGTAACTTTCCTTATCTGAGGTTTGCCATTCAAGATAAGGAAACAGTCCTATACATAGCAGACTACAGGTTCCTACATGTCCTCTCTTTTTATTTAATTTTGAGGGAACAATGTTTTTTGTATATATCGCATTTGATGAGGAGGCGAGGAGTAGGACGAAACATAGTAATTAATGAGGGAATACACTGAATGAAACAACAGCAAGAAACTAACATGACAATAATAATTACAGCATAAAAAAAAAACTGCTTAAGCCAGGTCAACCAGTCAAAAGAAAAGGAAATAGCATGAACATTATTCTGAAAATATGATTGGAGTTTAGCAAGTTCATCTTCAATGGTTCTGTTCAAAGAGTGAAAATGAACAGCACATCCATGACGGCCAACAAGTTTACAAAAACCTCCTTGTCATGCTAACAAATAGTCAATAGCAAAACGTTGTTGGAGCACATCCTGATTCAGGTCCTCAATTTCATGTTGGAGATCACGAACAATAGCAGCAGTGGCATTAATTGATTTCTCCAGGCGACATGTTAAACCCAGGATAGAATGTCTATTTTCTTGAGCTATTATTCCAGGGTAAGCCCCTAAGGTGATCACCCCAGGAATAGCTCCAGCCGCAGCATGGCCAAAGGTATTTAGAGAGGACAGTTGCGTATCAATGATAACTTCATCATTACATGTAGGACCTAATGAAGCACGGCATTGTCGTGAAGAAGAAGAGAGAGCACTAATCTGCAGAGGTAGGGAAAAGTAGCCAATAGCAGCACACTGATAGTTCTGAAGGTGTACGTTGGTTGCATATTTGTCAAAAAAGAACCACATAGAAGCGTTAAAAATAGGAAAATTATCAGGATACATTTCAGGCACAATATTAGGCCCATACAAAGAAGAATTAAAGGTTCCCCAGAGCCAATAATAGTCAGTACAATAATTATAATTCCCTACTTTCGATAAAATGCGTCAAGCCTTAGCATAATTATTCCAATTGTTAAGCCAAGTATGGTGAGCATAACAGCAAAAACATAAGCCTCTAGTATATTGATTAGTATGAAGATAACGCCAACGAACAGAATTAAGTTTAGGATTAAGTTGTATAGGTTGAGTGTTATTCAAAGCAGTAACAGAACTAAGAGAAGACAAGAGAATACAAAAAAGAATTGTGACAGAATTAGCTGCAATAATAGCAAAAACAGCAGCAACTAGATTTTCAGGAGTCTGAGGTAGGTCAGCTTGACTCAATTGTTGTTGAGCTTGGTATGTTGTGGCCTTCACTTGCTCCCATGTGATTGGCGAAGGTCGTTACTCGGGATTAGGAGCAAGACGATACTTTACTAGCGGTCTTGTCATGGTGCTATTGCATGAAAATGAACATTAACAGGAATATCTGAAAAAGAATCTACAAGAGTTAAATAATTCCAAGTAAATAAGGCAACAGATAATAAATGTTCTCCATTTCCCATTTTTCTTTTTAATAAAAAAACAGGAGTATGACTACGTGTATGCTCCACATATAAGGGATGTTGTCGATTCTCCAAATGATGCTTAAGAGACAAAAACAAAGCTAGCAAATTTATATCTAATGACAATGCACAATAAGAAAATGGCAAAGATTGCATAACTAAATAGACATATTGTGTATCAACCACAAGATTAATTCATTGCGTAGGGAAAAGTTGTAAAGCTAATATAACAGCTGCAAGTTCAGCCCGCTGGGCGGAAGTTTGAATTGATGTGAATTTTGAATGCCATTGAGAATCAGCGTGCCAGACCACCACCCCTCTTTTTGGTGAACCATCTGTAAAAATTGTCAGAGCATCAATAAAAGGAGTACGGACAAAAATAGTAGAAAAAGATGGGTTTGGAGTAGTAGTAACCACAATTCTAGGATCTTTTGGTAATGAATATAAAACTTCTCCAAGATAATTGGAGAAGGCAATCTGATAACTTTCAGATATCATCATAAGATGATCATGCTCAATCTTTGTACGTGTGAAGGCAATGCCTATCAAATCCTGTCCAATCAGTTGCAAAGCACACTTTAATCAATTCTTCTAAGGCAGACTGGTAAGGATAAATGTTTCTAGGTGGAGTAGCAGATAAATTTAACCACTCATGAATAGCTATTTTTAATGTGCTCTTAATGGTATATAAACACCCAGTAGGCAATGGAGAAGTAGGAAGAATAGTTAAGTGCAATCCTGCTTCTACTGACTCAATTCGGTCAACATATTGTTGCTTAACTTTGTCCAAGATGAGCTGTAAGCACCTTTTTTGATCATTCAGCAAATGAACTGTATTACCAGGGGATTGTGCTCCTTTTAAAGATTGGAATAGAGGTAACATATCACCAGTTGTTATGCAGAAGAAAGGCCTAACCCAGTTAATAATGCCTAGCAACTTTTGTCATTGAACTAAAGTATAAGACTTTTGTACTTTTAAGTCAGGCAATACTGGAATGGAAGAAGCTTTCAGTAACCTATGACCCAAGTATAAGTAAGGTTCAGTTTTCTGAATTTTATCATCTGCAATAAACAACCCCTTCTGTGCTACAATAGTTTTTAATTCCTGCAGAAGGGCTATAGAATCAAACTGAGGAGCAGCTATTAAGATATCATCCATGAGGCTTCCGGTCTGGCTTCCAGGCTTCCGGTCTGGCTTCCATCACCACCAGACGGTCCTCTGAGACCGCCAGCCCTGTTGCCTGTAAAGAGCCGCCTTTACATCTGAAAGGCAGCTCGAAAAACTCCATTTCCTGAAGGAAATGTGAGACAGAGCAGGCGAGGGCAGGTAGAGCCCTCTGCGAAGTCCCCAGTGTTCTTTTTTTACTCTTGGGGATGAGCAGGTTGTGGCTCCCTATTTCCGCTAGCCGCTGCTCCGGGCTTCGGGAGAACTCTGCCTTTTTGCAGAGCTAGGCGCTGGAACCGGACCAATCAAAGAAATTAACAGATGGACTAATTAAAAAGGACGAGATTTGGACTTGGGACCCTAAATCGCAAGTATTCTTAATGATTTTACAAGCGTTTTAGAGTGAAGGAAAAAAAAGTTTAAAATGGCGACTGCTGAGGCTTGAGAAGAAGAAGAAAGCCGAAAGTGAAAGTCCTTCCGTAACAAGCTACAAAGTAGCGGAATAAACAGTGCTGGCTAGAATCTGGAAGAAAAATACCTATTTTAAGTTTCTTTTTTCTTGGAGATTTGTACTTGATCTTGTTTGGGGAAAAGTTTTCTTTCTTTAAAAAGAGTTTGTGTGGCAGGATGGCGTTAAAACTAATAAAGCCTGACAAACAAGCAATGGGGGGGGGGTGTTCCCCCATTTACAATTATGTGAACAAGTTCTGAGCTTACAGACTCAGCAGAATGGCTTTAATTTAAAAGAATTTGTCCAGGAGGAAATGGCAAGATATCACGAGACTGTGAACCAGAAATTTGAAAAATTTAGGCAAGAAATTAAAGAAATGATACAACTAAAGTGTCGAGCCTCGGTTGGGTCTCGCCATCACTAGGGAGGACGAGGAGGAGGGGGCAAGCTGTTGGACTCTCCGGGGGCGTGTCATCAGCTGTTTGAGAAGTCTTTACCACCTGCACACAAAACGAAGCAAACTCTTTCATCGGAGATGGGGGGGGCATGGTGTTTGCAGATGACGCTGCCTTGTGCTGTAACAGAGGCGCGCTCCTCCTACAGGCCAGCTTGAGGAAGGAGGGATGATGTTGACTGTTTGATTGTTAATTGATTTATTGTGCTCCTCCTTCAGGCCAGCTAAGGGAAGGAGGGGTGATGTTAACTATTTAATTGCCACTTGATTTATTGCTGTGTATATAAAAGGCGCTATACTGCGATTGCGTGTAGCGCTAACTTTAAACCTTGTTTCTGGCTTGTGCCTTTCTCCTGCCTGTGTTTGCTGTGCTGAACCTAATTAAAGGATTGCAACTGCTTTATTCCGTTCTGGTGTTGGCTTGTTTCCAGTGCAGTTGGGTGGACTGGCCGAGAGAAAGTTAGCGCTCCCCCACTCACCAATTTCAACTGCCTACGTTCCCTAGCTGCAGTCCGGCGAGAAAGGCTGTCGGTGATGGTAGAAGGGACGGCGCTGGGTGATTCGGAGTTGGAGGTCCCTCTAGAGGCTGACATGGAGGAGGTGGTTGTGGAAGAGGAGAAACTACAAACTGCAACCCCTCATCAACCGGTAGTCAGACCCAAGCTGTGCCAGCCACGTGAGGAGGACTGTGTGGAGACGGCTGGTGCGCAGAGTCAAGGGCTAGACCCTTCGGGACAGGTTTCCAGTGGGGGCTGGTGGCCTAGTTCTACTCATACTGGGCCCCAATGGCCTTTTCCCCCCCCATTGGGTCCGTCATTTAGAGGTTGGCAGGAGAGACGTTGGACAGACGAGGAAGAGGCGGATTGGGGCTATGATAATACAGGGCCTGAATCCAGTGCTATGGATGCCATAAGAGATCGGTTTGGAGAAGGGAGTTTCCGGGACGCCCCGTCTTGGCAACCCTGGGCCGCTGGGGCGGAACCGTTACAAGGCAAGTCTTGACAGGATGAGGGCCTTTCCAGGCCAGAGGCTCGGTTTCGCATCGCTAGCCCCAAATTCCGAAGGGAACAGGAAACAGGAAAAGGAAAGGGCCAATTCGAAGACCGGGACTACCACCTGCCTAAGAGGGAGGATAGCACCAGGGGCTCCGAACAGCCATCGACCAGAAGAGAGG